TACAACCAATAGGATCATGCGATTAGTGTTCATCATCGCCTGATATCGAATCGGCTTTGTAATGTGAAGGTACCGATCAACCGAGATGAGAAGTATCATTAAGACCGGAATATATCCCAAAAAAATCACCGTAAATTCAACTGATTTGAGCTCAAGGCAGTTTCTTTGTCTACTTGATATCCAGAATGCTCCCAGTACAGGCTGTGTAAGAATTCCCAAACACAAGTCTGACACTGTCATCATGAGAATAAGTTTATTTGAAAATGTCCGTAGCTGCTTCGATTTTTGCAATGCGAAAATCAAAAGGGAGTTTGACAGGATATTGAAAAAGGCAAATATAATCATAATGGCTCCAGCAATTGTAGTGTACGGGTTCCCTGGATTGTTTGGAACCAGCGACAGACAACGACTTACCACTCCATATTCTCGTAGCATCTTTGTCTACGATATTTTCCGTCTTTTCAATAAAAATATACTTTTTTGTCTTGATGCTTCTCTTGTCCTTTTAGTTTCAATCCTCTGATATTCCGATGCGAAAAATGAAAATGCTGCGAACCATATACCATTTCAATTAGATTTCCTTTACATTTCCATTTCAATTTAAATCAAATAAAGCTTCAATTGACTTCTTTAATGACTTGTTTAAAGTCTTAATTGTTTATAAACATTGAAATCTGAAGATAACTAAGAAACATGCAAAATGGAATAAAAATCAGTTTATTAATTTTGCAACGTATTAGAAAGCTTGAGCGTTTTTGCTTTCTATTGACTTGTACTTAAAAAAATAAAGCGCGATATGATTGATCGCTAAAGTCGGCTGTCATTTCTGACCGGATATTGATTGCCAATTTTGTAAATTCAAATAATGGCATACCGGAAAACAAGGACCAGGTACCTTAAGGCTGGACCCTGGACCGAGGACTATGGAGCCAGCAACCAGGACCAAGGTCACAAGATCCACGACCCAAGACCCACGACCTAGGACCCACGAACCACGAACCACGACCTAGGACTGTCTATGTTTTTGATAATGCACTCCTTTCTTTTCAAGAACACGAAACCATAACATTACATGTCATGAACATTTATACATGAAATCAAAAGGTTTTAAACATCGCACAGAAGACTACACAATGTTTCAGTCTGAAATGATTAATATACTAGCACCAAATCCTTGAATGTTTACAAAAGCTGGATGTTCACACTGTGTATACCTTACAAGCAGCTGTGTTATCTTGTTGCCATGAAAACAGTACAGTTTACAAAGATCTACTAAAGGAACTACCAAATAAGTCTGCAGTCTATAAAAGATATTTATTTACAAAGTTACAATGAAGAACGTCTTTCAGTTTCAAACTTCTATATTTTTTCGAAGCAAACAGAACTGTATAGAATATTACTGATAGCAAACCGTTTTACTTACTGGCTATTCTAAACGGCACTTGCGATATCATATTATATACTGTTTCAAACAAGTAGGCTTTGTATAAGGAATCTTTTTATGACGCGGAAAATGTTAAAAAGCCGTTAGTGTTAAGGACAAAATCACTTTTGAATACTTTCATCATTGCTAGCATTCAATAATAAGAAAGCCAGTTCCATTCTTTTGAAGTTAGAAATCACATAACAAAGAAAGGGAAATTTTGTGAGCAACCTAGCAAGCAGGGAAACCGCGATTTTTTATTTTCATATGTGATCTTGGTGGGTCTATGACTCAAAATCTGACAGGGGCCCTAAAATTAGGGGGCTGGTGGTCACGTGATCAATCATTTTGTTGCTCCCGGTCATCCAAAATTTTGTTCATCTAATCTTAATCTTTAGAACATTCAAAATTGAACAAAAAATTATGAAAAACCTATGATGTTAAATAAACCTGTCAAGATATGACCTCTTAAAATATTGCAAAAAAGACGTCATCAAACGAGTAAAAACGAGTAGTCTTTTATCACTTATTTCTCATTATTTTGACAAGTGCTAAATCTCAGAATGGCTCAGGATTACTTTCTGGAGACAATCGAACTATTTTCTATAAGAAATATTTGAGCCAAAGACCCACCAGGATCATATATTAAAAGAAAAAATACCAGTTACCCTGTTTGATAGATTGCTTACAAAAATTCCCTTTCTATTATGTCCGGGGTTTCGTTATACCGCGAGAATTTTTAATGAGTTTCTTAAACAGAGTCGAAGGGACCAAACATTTTGTTTGTTATACCGGGAAGTTCGATATATTCGGGGCTCGTTATATTTGTATATTGGAAAGTTGATGTTCTGACAAATCTTTGAAATAATCATTAACATATAAATGAAAAAGCGATATCCAATGTCGTCCATTACTTTTCTCACAAACAGCGCTGGAAATGGATGACATTACTCTGTAAAACTCTATATTTCCATAAAACTTGATCAGAGAATGCAAAAAACTGCTTGCAAACATTACTACGGCACTCCACTCAAAGAAGGCAATCATGACACAAGACGAGGTATGCATTGTTGAATGGACAGTAGTAAACACGATGTAGTTCCGTTACCAAACAAAGTCTTTTCAATGCAGCTAGTTGCTCGTTAAAAATGTTGATATGATTCTCTAGCATACCTTTGAAATAGTCGTCAATATAATAATGAGCCTAGCGGATGCTAGACATTCAGGGAGGGTTAGTTTGGATTTTGCCTGACTACTCTCGTTTATTGAGATAGAACCGCCGAAAGGAGCCTGAAATGTGATCAGCTTGCCCTGATTAGCGAAGCTGCAATCCTCCCAGCTCCAGTGTCCATGTCTATGAATTTAGATATTGTATTTCACTCAGGAGCTTCGCTACTCTTACATAAAAGCGATTTTACAACTTTGCGACATTTTGTATTTCCACGTATAAAAATCAATGAGTTAAGAAAACTGACACTATTCGCAATTACAAAACTCCATTTGTAAATTGTGTCCAGCAGAACTCCGTCTGCAGAATCTCTTTTGAATTCATGATACGCCCAGAAAACTGAACAAATGTTGTAAGGGGTGTAACAGACAAGAAATAATCCCAAAACCAAACGAACTGTTTTCACCGCAGCTAGACGTTCTGTTCGAAAATTGAGCACTTCCTTTCGATTACCAGGTTGAAATCGAAAGACTGCATTTTTGTAGTGTCTCTCAAGAGTTTTTAATGTTTTTGTATTCAGAATGAGAAAAACAGTCATAAGCATAAAGTTAAAAATCACGATGGTCAACTGACGGTAGAAGGAGTCCCATACTACGCTAATTGTGGCAACAACAAGTCCACTAATAAAACAAGATACAACCAATAGGGTCATCCGACTATTGTTCATCATTGTCTGATATCGAATCGGTTTTGCGACGTGAAGGTACCGATCTATTGAAATTGTGATTATCATAAAGAATGAAATGTATCCCAAAAAAGTCACCGTAAATTCAACAGATTTAAGCTCAAGGCAGTTTCTTTGTCTACTTGATATCCAGAATGCTCCCAGTACAGGCTGTGCAAAGATTCCCAAGCACAAATCTGACAC